GGCCCAGTTTTCAAGTTGGTCCAAATCGGGGTCCAAAATTAAACTTTGTTTGATTTCAACAAAAATTGAATATATGGGGTTCTGTAATATGCTGAATCTAACCGTGTATTAAGTTTTTGGATTTTGGGCCCCGTTTTTAAATTGGTCCACATTGAAGTCCAAAGGGTCCAAAATTTAACTTTGTTTGATTTCATCAAAAATTGAATTATTGGGGTTCTTTGATATGCCGAATCTAACCGTGTATTTAGATTCTTAATTTTTGGTTCCGTTTTCAAATTGGTCTACATAAAGGTCCAAAGGGTCCAAAATTAAACTTAGTTTGATTTTAACAAAAATTGAATTTTTAGGGTTCTTTGATATGCTGAATCTAAACATGTATTTAGATTTTTGATTATGGGCCCAGTTTTCAAGTTGGTCCAAATCGGGGTCCAAAATTAAACTTTGTTTAATTTCAACAAAAATTGAATATATGGGGTTCTTTGATATGCTGAATCTAACCATGTATTTAGATTTTTGATTTTTGGGCCCTGTTATCATTTTTGTCCACATTGAGATCAAAAGGGTCCAAAATTAAACTTTGTTTGATTTCATCAAAAATTGAATTCTTGGGGTTCTTTGATATGCTGAATCTAACCATGTATTTAGATTTTGGATATTGGACCATAATAGGTGAATGTCCAATTTAAAATTTTTAAGTTCTTAGACCACATTCATTCTGTGTCAGAAACCTATGCTGTGTCAAATATTTAATCACAATCCAAATTCAGAGCTGTATCAAGCTTGAATGTTGTGTCCATACTTGCCCCAACTGTTCAGGGTTCGACCTCTGCGGTCGTATCAAGCTGCGCCCTGCGGAGCATTTTATCTGTAATAAAACTGCCACTCCAGTATAGTAGTATAATCTTGAGGGCCCTCCTAATAACTGTAATAATGCCTACGGGAAATATTGGCTAATGATCGCTAATCACTTTTTACCTGTGTTTTTAATTCACACCTGACATTGATCACAAGCTCAGAACTAATATCATAAAGAAATTAAAATTCTATGACAACTGTCTTCCTTATTAAGTCTCCCAAACGAAGTTTGGGAAGACTTATTGTTTTTGCTCAGTTCTTATTATTATTATTATTCTTCTTCCTCTTCCTCTTCCTCTTCCTCTTCCGCCGCTTTTAAATTTGAACTTGTCCGCACCCGTTCTCCAAAACCGCTTGTCAGATTAACTTAGGGTTTCACAATATGTTAGACTAACATGTCTAGTGGTGCAATCAGGGTTTAGTTTGTGCAATGGGGTTTATAAAGGGGTACTTTGAGGGGCAAAAAGAAAAGAGGGTTTTACTATAGAACCCTATGGGATTTTATTTTTTTAAATTTTCAAATGATTATAAATTGAAAACCGTTTGTGATAGACACAATCTTTTTAATTGAAAATGTTCTAAATGATAAAACCCATTAAATGAAATACAGGGTTAGTCCCCAGGGGTCATCCCCACCCCCTGCCATTTAAGAAAGTTCTAATACCTTGTAAGTGGTCAAGATCCCCACCCCTAAACCACATATATTCTGGTTTGTCATGCTAAGATGGTTTGAATGATATACAGGGTTAGTCCCCAGGGGTCATCCCGACCCCCTGCCATTTGAGAAAGTTCTAATATCTTGAAAATGGTCGAGATCCCCACCCCTAAACCATATATATTCTGGTTTGTCATGCTAAGATGGTTTGAATGATATACAGGGTTAGTTCCCAGGGGTCATCCCGACCCCCTGTCATTTGAGAAAGTTCTAATATCTTGTAAATGGTCGAGATCCCCACCCCTAAACCATATATATTCTGGTTTGTCATGATAAAGCACATGAAATGAAATACAGAGTTAGTCCCCAGGGGTCACCCCCACCCCATGCCATTTAAGAAAGTTCTAATAATTTGTAATTGGTCGAGATCCCCACCCCTAAACCATATATATTCTGGTTTGTCATGCTAAGATGGTTTTAATGATATACAGGGTTAGTCCCCAGGGGTCATCCCGACCCCCTGCCATTTGAGAAAGTTCTAATAATTTGTAATTGGTCGAGATCCCCACCCCTAAACCATATATATTCTGGTTTGTCATGCTAAGATGGTTTGAATGATATACAGGGTTAGTCCCCAGGGGTCATCCCGACCCCCTGCCATTTGAGAAAGTTCTAATATCTTGTAAATGGTCGAGATCCCCACCCCTAAACCATATATAATCTGGTTTGTCATGCTAAGATGGTTTGAATGATATACAGGGTTAGTCCCCAGGGGTCATCCCGACCCCCTGCCATTTGAGAAAGTTCTAATATCTTGTAAATGGTCGAGATCCCCACCCATAAACCATATATATTCTGGTTTGTCATGATAAAGCACATGAAATGAAATACAGGGTTAGTCCTCAGGGGTCACCCCCACCCCCAGCCATTCAAGAAAGTTCTAATGTAAGTGGTTAAGATCCCCACCCCTAAACCATATATATTCTGGTTTGTCATGCTATGATGGTTTGAATGATCTACAGGGTTAGTCCCCAGGGGTCATCCTGACCCCCTGACATTTAAGAAAGTTCTAATATCTTGTAAGTGGTCAAGATCCCCACCCCTAAACCATATATATTCTGGTTTGTCATGATAAAGCACATCAAATGAAATACAGGGTTAGTCCCCAGGGGTCACCCCCAGCCCCTTCTATTTAAGAAAGTTCTAATATCTTGTAAGTGGTCAAGATCCCCACCCCTAAACCATATATATTCTGGTTTGTCATACCAAGATGGTTTGAATGATATACAGGGTTAGTCCCCAGGGGTCACCCCACCCCCTGCTATTTAAGAAAGCTCTAATATCTTGTTAGTGGTCAAGATCCCCACCCCTAAACCATATATATTCTGGTTTGTCATACCAAGATGGTTTGAATGATATACAGGGTTAGTCCCCAGGAGTCATCCCGACCTCCTGCCATTTGAGAAAGTTCTAATATCTTGTAAATGGTCGAGATCCCCACCCCTAAACCATATATATTCCTGTTCATCATGTCTCGAACATTTGAATGACGTATACGGTCAGTCCCCACTGGGTTCCCCCCACCCCCAATGTTCTAATATCTTGTAAATGGTCGAGATCCCCACCCCTAGACCATATATATTCCTGTTCGTCGTTTCTCGAACATTTGAATGATGTATAGGGTCAGTCCCCAGGGGTTCCCCCCACCCCCAATGTTCTAGTATCTTGTAAATGGTCGAGATCCCCACCCCTAAACCATATATATTCTGGTTTGTCATGCCAAGATGATTTGAATGATATACAGGGTTAGTCCCCAGGCATCACTAATGCATTAACTTTACTGGACCAAACCAATTTTCACTGGACTTTGTCCAATGTCAGGCGACACTGGGAATTACGAATTATGGGAGCTTCGTTTGGGAGACTTCGTAACAGCATCCTGTTACAATCATTTCTTGTTTTAAATACTTTTCAGCAAAGAAAATCGTCAATTCTGATTTAAAAATTAAAACTTAATTTAATTTACGTAGAAAAAAGTTATTTTTCACGAAGTACACATGTGCTTTATTTACTATGTAATACGCATGCATGAAATTGTCTTCAGCAGATTAGACACTTAATGGTAAAATGGAAAATGATTTCATGCTAAATTAAACGAGTGCAACTATTATCTGTTATTTCAAACACTTAAAAAAGGTAATAAAAGTAAAAAGCCAGTGATTTCCTGTCAATCTGACGAACAAAACGAATCCGGGAAATGAATCTGGAATTACTCGTACTTTAGTATTGTCGCAAAATTTCCGGTTTTAATTTCTTCTTCAAAATCGAAAGAAACGTTAGCGATGTATGAGAAATTTACCATTTTGAGTCATTAAAATCATTTCAATTTTAAACTGTTGCCTTCCCTGAACTGTTCTTGAACGTTTTTAGATAAATGGTAAGAAAATTCACGAAGTAAATGCAACGAAACAGTCAATTTAAGTTCACTGATGCTATGAATCTAGTGTGATTTCGACAATTTGAAAAAAAGGGCACCAACTTTTAAGTCATCTCAAAATGACCGCACATGTTTCAGTCCACTACATATGACATACATGTTTCAGTCCAGTACATAAGACTTACATTGCCAATGAGACAACTCTGCACAAGAGACCAAATGACACAGAAATTAACAACTATAGGTAACCGTACAGCCTTCAACAATGAGCAAAACCAATACCGCATAGTCAGCTATAAAATACATGTTTCATGTTCTAATGTATTCTAATGTTTCATGTAACATACATGTTTCAATCTAATACATTAGGACATACATGTTTCAGTCCAATACATTAGAACATACATGTTTCAGTCCACTACATAGGACATACATGTGTCAGTCCAATACATTAGAACATAAATGTTTCAGTCCAATACATTAGAACATGCATGTTTCAGTCCACTACATACGGTATACATGTCAGTCCAATACATTAGAACATACATGTTTCAGTCCAATACATTAGAACATACATGTTTCAGTCCAATACATATGACATACATGTTTCAGTCCAATACATTATTTAGAACATGCAAGTTTCAGTTTAATACGTTAGGACATACATGTTTCAGAATTTTTTAGATTCAAGAAATTTTATTAAAAAATGAATCATGAGAGCATTGACCATGTTGACTATTAAACCAAAATAAAATCAGGTAGGTCTGTACATTTGTAAAAATTGTCTCTAAAATTTTAAATAGCATGATGTGTAAGGTTAGCTATCTCACATGTTTTTTGTTATTTACTGTGCATTCATTATCAAAATGTTTACAAAAGTGCAGATCTATTGAACAATGAAAATTATAAGTTTCTTTTCATTTATCATCTTGTATCAATCAAAAGGGGCTGGTTTCACCAAAAAAAATCTTGACTAGGATTGATCATAGTTATACTGAAATGTTTATAACTTTTAAAAGTTTCTGTTATAATAAATGATGAACTTTATTTTAGGTTCTGATGGTCACACCCCGGTTACTTCGCAACAGCAACCACATCCAGCCACAAGGAGTGCTCCAATTCAAATCCCAATCACATCAACCCAGCCCTCAATGAATAGAACACATCCCCAACAGACAATATCAAATCCTCACCTTCAAATGTCACATGTGGTCCAAAACCAGGGATCAATTTATGGCCGAGTCATGTCACAGCAACCAACACCTCCTATGAATGGAAGGATGCATGTCCAACAGCCTTCCCCTAATATGAGAATGGTAACGCAACAACATCCATCACCGCACCTAGATATGTTGCAAGAGATATCTATGGAGGGAGGTCACATGACATCACATCATTTTCCTGTAAAAGAAGATGACAGGACAGGGGGAGAAAGTCCAGCATCAGATACTAGCAGAAGATCATCATGGTAAATTTATGTAGTCCGAAAAAAGGAAAACATTATACACATATTTGTTTGATGGAGATTATTCCAGAAACATGTTCCATTCATGCACTTTGAAAACAAGTCTGGTACAATTTTATATTACACAAAGAATATCTTTTTAAATACAATATTAAGCAAGGTTTTCTGTTTTTCTGCTATTTAACTATGATTTAATCCACTCACCTATGTAAATTTTTAAATGGCCTGGTAAACTTAACTTTAAAGTATTAAAAAAAAACAACCTCCAGTTTGATTATATTATTTACATGAACAAAAAATTGAATTGATGATGCTCTGCATAAAACATATTCTTACATATTTAATACTACTAGTCTGGAGCTTGTAAAAAGTAGATTTGGAATGACCATTACCATCCTTTATGTTCCTAGCTTCTTATAAAAATTGATTTGTTCAATCAATGCACAACTTTTCATAAATGATTGGTGTTTGTAAATAAGCTTAAGTTTTGTGTTTCAGCATGAGTCCAAATAGTACAACAAGTTCCCAGAATGCATGTGTAGAGGCTGGTCCACTAACAAACATGGGTGTTACTAAAGATCCAGCAGCTGATATGATGAACTCTTTAAAACAATATTACAATGAAAACTTAGTTAGCCATGTGTCTGGCTGGCAGGCTGAACATGCAGAAAGACAGGTAGGAAGATCAAATGTTAATGAAAACTTAGTTAGCCATGTGTCTGGCTTGCAGGCTGACAGTTTAATATAGATAAAATGTTACATATTCATGTAGTACAACATTAAATATATTTTTATTTAACATAAATAATCAGACACTACTTGTATTTATTATTGAATTTACAGCTTGTATAAGTATCCTGAATTTGAATTGTTTGATAGCTAGTGTATTTTTCATTTATATTCCTTTTTAAGATGAATATTGGTTATATTTCACCATCACAGGGGTAAATGCACAAAGGTATGCCTTTTTTACCCTCTCTTCCATGGCATTTGCCAAACTTATATTCCTTTTATACCCTTCACAGAGGTGCTTGAACATTAGTGTGCTTTATGAAATGTAGTTGCTTTTGCTTACATCAAAAAATGAAAGAAAAATGGAATCAGATTTCAGTTGTTTAACTTAACCATTTCTATTGATATTCGGTGTAATTAAAAAACCGTATATGTATTGTGATTAGGAGGGGTATTTGCGAAGACTTCAGAAGAAATCTCCTTAGCAATGCTAGTCGTGAAATTTTACCTGCTCTCAACTGGTGTGTTGGCAAAAAACCCTCCTGAACATGACATACCTCTTCAATACTTCTATAAGAAGTGTAATTGTCCTTATAGAAATTACTGATTTATTGTTTATATATATGTCAGTCAGAACTCAGACATAAGTAAGTCTAAATCTGCTTTTGACTCATAGTGGTCTAAATTTGTAGGTTTCTAGATTTGTCTCCCTTTAATTTAAGACAAATTATGACTTCAATAAGTCAATTAGTGTTAAGCAAGAAATATTTGACCTGAATTTAAAAGTTGCAAATATTGACTCCTACAAGTCGATAAGTTACCAAAATTGGTCAACTTCAAGACCTAAGCACATTTATAAAAAGGTCAAGCATCTTCATGAAATTATGACAACAGTGAAGTACAATGCTTTGTCTTCTAAAGAAAAATATGTTGAGAGCCTAAAAAAACGGAGATAATGTTTATTTACTTTACAATGCAACCATCTATAACCAAACAAAATGAGGAAAATAATCTTATGTTAAGTAAAAATGTTCAATTAGGTAATTAAAAATAGATAGCTCAGGTCCTTGTGAACTCTCAGACAGGTTTATGATGTCATAGGTGGTGCACATGTACATTGATTGTCAATTAAAGTTACCATAAATAGACATAACTTAATTAAGTCTGAAAATGAAAACACATTTTTATAATAAATACATTTTTGGACTTCTGTTAGTCAAAAACAAAAAACTACTTGTTTATGTCTGAGCTCTGACTATGTTGTTGTACCATGAAAAATGAGTATTTAGATAACATGACAAAAATGTTAATTCTTTTTTCAGGCAAATAGATATTGGGAAGAGGGTTTAAAGATTGGTAGTTTTCATTGTAGTCAAGTTAGTGTCAATTTAAAGAGAGCTAGATCATTAGTTAGACTGGCTGAAATACAATCGACACTTCATGAACAAAGGTAAGAACATAGGTCAATTGGTGGCAGAAAATCATTACACACCAAATCTTTCAAAACGAAATGAACCAAAGAAAAGTACTGTACACACTTTTTGAAACCAAAGCTACCAACAAATTTATTCTTTTAACTTTTGTCACAGAATGTATGACCTGCTAACCTACATTATGTTTACTTCATAAGAAAAATGTTCTATAGGCCATTCTTTGTCACAGGATTTTTTCAGTAATTAGTATAAGGCTAACTATATTTGGTATATTGTTTCATTGTAAAGAGATACTTTTAGTATAAAGACTATCATAATCAGTAAATTAGGAGCAACACATCAGAGTGTCTACATTGGGTTAAGCTGTTGTCAAGAAATGCAACAACTCACCAACTTTAAATTTTAAGTTCCATTATGATATAGATTGATTGGTGTTTAACGCCACTTTCAACACTATTGTGCTATTTCATGGCGGTCAGTTTTTATTGGTGGAGGAAGACAGGGTGTCCAGAGAGAACCACCGACCTTCAGTAGAAAAACTGACAAATTCTAGTCAATAAAGATTGGAGTCTAGTGCACCTAACCCTTGTGGGATTCAAACTCACAACCTCAGTGTTGACAGGCTAGTGATACAGTAGTTTGACTACTTAGACCACTCGGCCACCGTGGCCCCAAGTTTAATTATAAAACAGTCTTTAGCATTTTTAGAAATGAAAAGAAGTTTGGTAGATGAACATTGGTTAAAATCCTATAAAAAGTACACACATATTTTCCCAGTAACAGAGAAGGGATTTGGTGTTGGATAATCATGTTTGATGTTGAAATTGTTTATTTAATGGCCTGGCTACGATATCATTTGATCCCCATTCCCTGGTTCACTGATCATGGAAATTTGATGATGTGAAACCACTACATTCGTATGATTCTCAAGTTAGATTTTTAACCAGATTTTCGAAGGAAATATCGGTTATTAAAATGGTTATATACGGCGGGCGGCTGGGCGGCTCTGGCGGCTGCCAAACAACGTCCGCACAATAACATGAAAACGCTTTTACAATTTTTTGTCAAATTTAAATATGTTGTTTCCTGGGACTTAATGAAGGTCTCTATTAATTTTCAAGATTTTAGTATATCTCCTTTGTGAGTTATCGCCATTTTTAATATCCAAAAGTAGAATTTTTAAATATTTTACTGTTGTTATCTTTTTATGATTTGTCTTATCTCAGAATAAAAATTGGAGTGACAGATATATTTGAAAATTATCTATTTCCTAAGTGGTAATGATTATAAGCTATATCATTAGACATTTTGAAGATTATTACATTATTAATTATGTATGAGTACTATGTTAAACAACCATAGTTCTGTTCAGTTAGATAATATAAATATTTCAGCATATGATAATGATTTATTTTCATTATTAATTAGATCTTTGAAATATTTTAGCATATGATAATCATTGGAGTGACAGATTTATTTGAAAATTTACTGTTTTCTGATTGAAATATAGGGGAAGTCCATTGGGGTAACCCCTACCCCCCTTTTTTAGCTCACCTGGCCCGAAGGGCCAAGTGAGCTTTTCTCATCACTTGGCGTCCGGCGTCCGTCGTCGTTAGCTTTTTACAAAAATCTTCTCCTCTGAAACCACTGGGCCAAATTTAACCAAACTTGGCCACAATCATCATTAGGGTATCTAGTTTAAAAAATGTGTCCGATGACCCGGCCAACCAACCAAGATGGCCGCCATGGCTAAAAATAGAACATAGGGGTAAAATGTAGATTTTGGCTTATATCTCTGAAACCAAAGCATTTAGAGTAAATCTGACATAGGTAAAACTGATTATCAGGTCAAGATCTATCTGCCCTGAAATTTTCAGACAAATCTGACAACCTGTTGTTGGGTTGCTGCCCCTGAATTGGTAATTTTAAGGAAATTTGGCAGTTTTTGGTTATTATCTTGAATATTATTATAGATAGAGATAAACTGTAAACAGCAATAATGTTCAGCAAAGTAAGATCTACAAATAAGTTGTCATGACCAAAATTGTCAGTCGACCCCTTTAGGAGTTATTGCCCTTAATAGTCAATTGTTAACAATTTTTGTAAATTTTTGTAATCTTTTACAAAAATCTTCTTTTCTGAAACTACTGAGACAAATTTAACCATACTTGGCCATAATCATTATAAGGGTTTCTAGTTTAAAAAATTTGTCCGATGACCCCGCCTTCTAACCATCATGGCTGACTTGGTTAAAAATAGAACATAGGGGTAAAATGCAGTTTTTGGTTTATATCTCTGAAACTAAAGCATTTAGAGCAAATCTGACAGGTGGCAAAAATGTTCATCAGATTTAGATTTATCTGCCCTGAAATTTTCAGACGAATCCGACAACCCGTTGTTGGGTTGCTGCCCATGAGTTAGTAATTTTACAAAAATTTTGCAGTTTTTTGTTATTATCTTAGATATCATTATAATATCTAATATCTAATACTATTAATTATGATTTTAACCTTATTTTACATGATTTCCAAAGCATCAGTAAATACAGGTGAGCGACACAGGCTCTTGAGAGCCTCTAGTTTTGATAACTTGTAAACGGTCAAGATTCCCACCCAGAAACCATATATATTCTTGTATGGGACAATAAAACTAATCAAATGAAATATAGGGGAAGTCCTAGGGGGTAAACACTACCCCCTTCTTTTTGAAAACTTGTAAACGGTTAAGATCCCCACCCCTAAACCATATATATTCTTGTATTGGACAATAAAATAAAGCAAATTAAATTTAGGGGAAGTCCCCTGGGGTAACCCCTACACTCCTTTTTTTTGAAAACTTGTAAACGGTCAAGATCCCCACCGCGAAACCATATATATTGTTGTATGTTACAATAAAACAAATGAAATGAAATAAAAGGTGAGTTCCTTGGGGTCATTCCCACCTTCTTCCTGTTTAAGAACTTGTAAATGGTCGAGATCCCCGCCCCTAAACCATATATATACTTGTATGGGACAAAAAAACAAATCATATGAAATAAAGGGCAGGTCCCCTGGGAAAATTAATCAGTTTGTGTGTGTTATATTTGAACATAAATTAAATATATATAGGGTTCTTTAAGTGCTGAATCTAAACTTGTTTTTAATTAGATAATAATCTATTTTTATTATGAGATAAAGATTTTGACATTGATAGATAAGTTGCAGATCTGTATTATTTTTGACACATGAAAGAAACAATATTAGCAACTATTAATTAAATTTGATTATAATATGGAAATAGATATAACATCATATCTGATTTTAGAGAAGTATTTTGCTGGTTTTTTATTGGTTTATGTAAATAAGCTTGAGTTATTTGGTTGAAAAGTGAGGTGTTTAATTGATATCTAATTTTTGAGATTTATGAGTGGTTGTCATATCTAATTTTAGAGAATTATTTTGGTGTTTTGTTACTGGTTCATGGAAATAAATTTGAGTTTTATCTTGTAAACGGTGGAGATCCCCACCCCTAAACCATATATATTCTTGTATGAGACAATAAAACAAATCAAACAAAATATTGGGGGAGTCCCCAGAACCACCCCCTTATTTTTGAAAACTTGTAAACGGTCAAGATCCCCACCCTGAAACCATATATATTCTTGTATGGGACAATAAAACAAATCAAATGAAATATAAGGTGAGTCCCCTGGGGTCACCCCTACCCCATCCTGTTTGAGAACTTGTAAACTGTCGAGATCCCCACCCCTGAACCATATATATTCTTGTATGGGTCAATAAAACAAATCAAATGAAATATTGGGAAGTCCATGGGGGTAACCCCTACCCCCTTCTTTTTGATAACTTGTAAACGGTTGAGATCCCCACCTTGAAACCATATATATTCTTGTATGGGACAATAAAACTAATCAAATGAAGTAAAAGGCGAGTCCCCTGGGGTCACCCCAACCCCCTCCTGTTTGAGTACTTGTAAACGGTCGAGATCCCCACCCCTAAACCATATATATATTCTTGTATGGGACAATAACACAAATCAAATGAAAATATGGGGGAAGTCCATGGGGTCACCCCCACACCCTTCTTTTTGAGAACTTGTAAAAGGTCAAGATCCCCACCCCGAAACCATATATATTCTTGTATGGGACAATAAATCAAATCAAATCAAATATAGAAGAAGTCCATGGGGGTAACCCCCACCCCCTTCTTTTTGATAACTTGTAAACGGTCGAGATCTGCACCCCTAAACCATATATATTCTTGAATGGGACAATAAAACAAATCAAATGAAATTGAGGGAAAGTCCCCTGGGGTAATCCCTACCCCCTTCTTTTTGAAATCTTGTAAATGGTCAAGATCCCCACCTCGAAACCATATATATTCTTGTATGGGACAATAAAACAAATCAAATGAAATATAAGGTGAGTCCCCTTGGTTCACCCCACCCCCCTCCTGTTTAAGAACTTGTAAACGGTTGAGCTTTTCATTATTAATAAGATAATACCACATTGAGGTCCAAAGGGTCCTAAATTAAACTTTTGTTTAATTTCATCAAATATTGAATTCTTGGAGTGCTTTGATATGCTGATTCTAATATGTACTTAGATTTTGGATATTGGACCATAATAGGTATTTAAATGTCCAATTTCAAATATATCAGTTCTTTTACTACATTCATTTTGTGTCACAAACCTATGATGTGTCAAATATTCAATCACAATCCAAATTCAGAGCTGTTTTAAGTTTAAATGTAGTGTCCATACTTGCTCAACTGTTCAGAGTTCGACCTCTGCAGGAAAATCCGGTTTGCTGTCTCTCTGACAGCCTCTTGTTGTGGTTAAGATAGTTTACCATGAAATTGTGGTCACATCAATTGGAACTAAGCACATATGTTTATTTATGGTGTAAACTTATTAAATTATATGCCAAATTACTGTTTTGACTCTGATTTCACAGTTTGCTAAACATGGAAATAGGATAGTGTGAGCAGGGCATCATGTCCTATGGACTTCTATTCTTGTTAACCATTGTAATATTTACTGTATTAACTGCATTAAGTTTTATTATATAATAATTCATATTTTGTTTTAGGATCCTGTTTTTAAATCAACAAGTTCATCAGTTAGAAGGCATGAAGCCGCCATCATTTTCCTCATCACAGCCGTTCACGTCATCATCACAGTAACATGTAATATAGTGTGTATGAATGTGTCCAATGGTCAGATAAAGAAATAACAGACTCAACTTCAAATTATTTTGTGTTTAATATCAGACATTTATTTTCTGTAAGATGTTGTTCCATCTCATCAATGAATGTTTTGGTAAGGTAACACTTTTTTGTCAGTTAACATGAATTTGACTATTGTAATAAATAAGTATGAAATATGATTTAAGTTGTTAACTGGTATTGAGTGAAATATGTATTGCTTTGGCTAATGTAACACTGAACAACTAACCTGTATCATTGGAGTCAACACAACAATTTTGTGAATGGATTATGATTTATCTTAAAAATTACCTCAAATTGGCAGGTATCATATGTTAGTCTTTAGAAAAAGTTGACTCTACATAATAATGGGCAAATAAGATAAAACAAAAAAAGTTAATGGTTAACTTCTTTAAGTAACTGGAAATATACTAAATTCTAAAGTTGGACTTCATTTTGATCATTTTTGTTGATTGTAAAATTTATGATGGGGAAAAGCATTTTCTAAATTTTGAAGTTTCATGCTTTCAAAAATATCCACAATACAAGACAAATCTTGATAAAAAATTTTTTTTAAATCAAGTCATTGTTCTTTAAGGGCATACAATACAGTTACAAGATGTTGCTAGCGTGAAATGTTATTTTTCGCGATGTCAAACTGCGACATATCGGGAAAAGATGCATTGTTTGAGGGATTCTAATCATTAGCTTGAAAATGAGAACATGGAATCCTCTTTTATAAAATGACATTTGACTTGATACTGAATGAAGATTATTTGTTATAATTTTTATGAAGAAATCAGTGATGAAATTTTTTAGAATTAGATATTATACAGCAACAAAGGATAGAAATGTCCAAGAAAACGAAATTTCAAGCATATGTCCAAAATTTCTACCCCATTTATCTCTAAATTTAGCACATGAAGGTATATTTTTTTAGTATATATTTGTATTTTCTTGGTAAGAAATAGCTTGTATGCAAATTTCAAAAAAAAATCACCGTGGGATCAAAACTGTATTGTATGCCCTTAATGCTAACATTCAAAAATATATAAAAATACTTTAACTGTAAGAGAAATCTTTTTTTTTTATTTTGTTATATGCAAGATCAGTGTATAAATTTTTATGTTGGTTGCATAATAATTTGAAAAATAAAATATATAATATATTAATTCTAAACTTTTTAGAATGATAAGAACAAAGAAATCATAAAAATATTGTTTCTCAGAACTTTTTTTAAATGGCAGCTTTCTCTGTTTTTACTTACAGTTTAGAATTTTTAAAAGTAAAAATGATATCTTTATTTGATATTTTTTTTTTTTGCATGGATAGGGAACTGTCTCAAAGACATATACTCAACACCTTCATTTATTCCTATCTAATTGGTGGAAAATTGGCTCATGCTTATAAAGTAGATGGAAAAGGGGGAGTAAGAATCCTAAAATTAATGGTCATTTAGAATCCCATTGATATAAACCCTGTACTTAAGTAAGAGACTTACAGAAGATTGGTTTTAATGATAAAATGTAATGATGCTATCTTCTTTGATAGTTCTGTTTGCATTGGAAGACATTAGAATATCCCATACTTGATATCACATCAATTTTTAATATTTTTTGCATGATACTTGGCTATTAAAGGAATAATAATTGTCATAATCTGTGAAGATCTTATCAACCTTGACATGCAGCAATATGCCCTCTTTTATTGAAATGGGTTTAGTTTAAAAAAAACTGTTAAAATCAAATAGAGTTGCATGTCTGTTCTCAAATCTTTGTTATTAATTGACTTTTAAATATGTGATGCCATCTAACTAGAAACATAATTGTATTTAAAGATGGAATAAATTATTTTTTTTCATCAAATACACTGAATGTAAGTTCAAATTGTATGTCATAAAGAATTTCTAGAATTGAAAAAAAGTTTAATATTGGGTTTAAAACAGTGGTATGTTTAACATAATTTAGATTTTTACATCTTTTTAGCTCACCTGGCCCTTTAAGTGAGCTTTTCTCATCACTTGGCGTCTGTCGTCCGTTAACTTTTACAAAAATCTTCTCCTCTGAAACTACTGGGACCAAACATGGCCACAATCATCATTGAGGTATCTAGTTTAAAAAATGTGTCCGACAACCTGACCCCCCAACCAAGATGGCCGCCATGGCTAAAAATAGAACATAGGGGTAAAATGTAGATTTTGACTTATATCTCTGAAACTAAAGCATTTAGAGCAAATCTGACATGGGGTAAAATTGTTCGTCAGGTCAAGATCGATCTGCCCTGATATTTTCAGACAAATCAGACTACCCGTTGTTGGTTGCTGCCCCTGAATTGGTAATTTTGCAGTTTTTATACGACCGCAAAAATTAAAAATTTTTTGGTCCTATATTGGTATGACGTTGGCGTCGGCGTCGTCCGAAGACACATTGGTTTTCGCACTCTAACTTTAGTTTAAGTGAATGGATCTCCATGAAATTTTACCATAAGGTTCAATACCACAAAAGAAAGGTTGGGATTGATTTTGGGGGTTATGGTACCAACAGTTAAGGAATTAGGGGCCAAAAAGGGGCCAAAAATAAGCATTTTTGTAACTTCCATACAATAACTTGTGTGTAAGTGTATGGATCTCTCTGACATTGTACCACAAGGTTCCATATCACAAAGGGAAGGCTGTAATTGATTTTGGGGGTAATTGCCCCAAAATTTTAGGAATTAGGGGCCAAAAAAGGGGCAAAAAACAAGCATTTTTCTAGTTTCATGACAATAACTTGTGTGTAAGTGTTTGGATATTTCTGAAATTGTACTACAAGGTTCCATATCACAAAGGGAAAGCTGGAATTGAGTTTGGGGGTAATTGCCCGAAACGTATAGGAATTGGGGGCCAAAAAGGGGCCAAAAATAAGCATTTTTCTAGTTTCCAGACAATAACTTTTGTTCAAGTGTATGGATCTCTCTGAAATTGTACTGCAAGGTACCATACCACAAAGGGAAGGCTGGGATTGAGTTTGGGGGTGATGAATCATAAGGGGGTTCAAAAAATTTGGGGGGGGGGGGATTTTTTTTCTTTCTTTTTTTCCTTTTTTTTTCTTTCTTTTTTCTTTTAAAATTTTCCATTTTAAGTTGGTTATTTCTGATAAATATTTAAAAGCAAATAATAATGATATGGTAGGAGATACACACCAAACAGGATGTGTAAATTATTATATAATAAGTATTGTGCAATAGCAAGAAATTTTCAATTGCACAGTATTGCACAATAGCAAGAAATCTTCAATTGCACAGTATTGCCCAATAGCAAGAAATCTTCAATTGTACAGTATTGCGCAATAGCAAGAAATATCCAATAGCACAATATTGCGCAATAGCAAGAAATTGTCAATTGTACAGTATTGCACAATAGCAAGGAATATTCAATTGCACAGTATTGTGCAAAAGAAGATACTACGTATAAATTGCTTATTTCTTGATCAATTTCAATGGGGTTTTATTCTTGAATTCTTGGGGTTCTTTAATATGCTGAATCTAACCGTGTATTAAGTTTTTGGATTTTGGGCCCCGTTTATAAATTGGTCCACATTGAGGTCCAAAGGGTCCAAAATTTAACTTTGTTTGATTTCATCAAAAAGTGAATTATTGGGGTTTTTTGATATGCCGAATCTAACCGTGTATTTAGATTCTTAATTTTTGGTTCCGTTTTCAAATTGGTCTACATTAAGGTCCAAAGGGTCCAAAATTAAACTTAGTTTGATTTTAACAAAAATTGAATTTTTAGGGTTCTTTGATATGCTGAATCTAAACATGTATTTAGATTTTTGATTATGGGCCCAGTTTTCAAGTTGGTCCAAATTGGGGTCCAAAATTAAACTTTGTTTGATTTCAACAAAAATTGAATATATGGGGTTCTTTGATATGCTGAATCTAGCCATGTATTTAGATTTTTGATTTTTGGGCCCCGTTATCAACTTTGTCCACATTGAGGTCAAAAGGGTCCAAAATTAAACTTTGTTTGATTTCATCAAAAATTGAATTCTTGGGGTTCTTTGATATGCTGAATCTAACCATGTATTTAGATTTTGGATATTGGACCATAATAGGTGAATGTCCAATTTAAAATTTTTAAGTTCTTAGACCACATTCATTCTGTGTCAGAAACCTATGCTGTGTCAAATATTTAATCACAATCCAAATTCAGAGCTGTATCAAGCTTGAATGTTGTGTCCATACTTGCCCCAACTGTTCAGGGTTCGACCTCTGCGGTCGTATCAAGCTGCGCCCTGCGGAGCATTTTATTGGTTATTATCTTCAATATTATTATAGATACAGATAAACTGTAAACAGCAATAATGTACAGCAAAGTAAGATTTACAAATAAGTCAACATGACCAAAATGGTCAATTGACCCCTTAAGGAGTTATTGTCCTTTATAGTCAATTTTTAACAATTTTTCGAAAAAATTTTATACAACCGCAAAAAATTTTGCAGTCGTATGACGTTGGCGTCGTTGTCGTCGTCGTCTTAGTCGTCCAAAGACACATTGGTTTTCGCACTCTTAACTTTAGTTTAAGTGAATGGATCTCTATGAAATTTTACCATAAGGTTCAATACCACAAAAGAAAGGTTGGGATTGATTTTGGGGGTTATGGTACCAACAGTTAAGGAATTAGGGGCCAAAAAGGGACCAAAAATGAGCATTTTTGTAACTTCCAGACATAACTTGTGTGTTAGTGTATGGATCTCTCTGACATTGTACCACAAGGTTCCATATCACAAAGGGAATGCTTGGATTGATTTTGGGGGTAATTGCCTCAAAATTTTAGGAATTAGGGGCAAAAAACAAGCATTTTTCTATTTTCAGGACAATAACTTGTGTGTAAGTGTATGGATCTTTATGAAATTGTACTACACGGTTCCATGTCACAAAGGATAAGCTAGGTTTGAGTTTGGGGGTAATTGCCCTATAGTTTAAAAAATGTGTCTGATGACCTGGCCCGCCAACCAAGATGACCACCATGGCTAAAAATAGAACATAGGGGTAAAATGCAGATTTTGGCTTATATCTCTGAAACTAAAGCATTTAGAGCAATTTTTTTTTTCTAAGGATTTTTTTGGCCCTCTTTTGTGTTTTGAGCAAAAACTAAAGAAGATAGAGAGAAACTAAACAGACTAAAG